AGTCGTCGGCCGTCGCATGGGTTCGGTTGATTCACACACCCGAGGTGAGTTCTTGAAACAAAATATCTTATGCACTATCATTCATTCTCATGGTCTTTGCAGTGGGAAATCTCAGCCGACGACATAGGTGACTCCAGCAAAATGACTATCAAGTGCGACGGCCGCTACATTGATACTGATGTCTGTTTCATTTCCCACTTAACATGAAGTTTAATATTAACTTCGCAAAAGTATAAGAGGGTAACCTACAATACCATACCCCATGAATGGGAAATTATCGTATCGTGATGTCGGCAGATGGACGTGAGTATGACGTATATCACGCGTCTTCAGGAAGTAACCTGGCTCTTCACTTCGCATCCGGGCCGCTGTTTCAGGCTTGTATATGTACTTGCCGATGGTGATGAAGGAACAAGGGTACGGCACTTCGTTTTTGCACTGTTGAAAACTATCTCACTTTGCTTAATTAGGTTCAACTCATGTATGAGCCAATATCCGCCAATGCATACTGGAGGTTAATTCCTATCAGACACCCCTCAAAGTGATTGGGTGCGATGCACTGAGATACCTGGTGTTGATATGATTTATGTTGGTCGTTGACATGTATGCTAGTGATGGAATTCAAGCATTCTCAGGTGAGCAGGCAATGAAAGCACCGAGTAATTTCTGTCAAATTATTTGTTACGGACCAGTACTTACTACTTACTACTTGAGCTTACAAATAGCTACTTAAAATATTGCACAACATTTAGAATGTAAACAAGACAACACTATGTATTATCGATCGGCGTTGTATGTTGAACCGCATACACGTCATACGGCTATGACAGTCACCGGTCTGGGATGGCCCATCATTTCAAATTGAAGTGTTACTTCATATTTTTAGTGAGGATCACTTGACTTGAAGCTTGAAGCTTGAAGTATCCCTACCGTGCTCAGCGGGAGCTTATTGGCATTGATCGGTGTGCAGGTTGATTTGTCAATCACGACGATTGTCTTCCTTGTGATAGTACAACTCGAGTCGGTTGTTCGCTACACCTTTGCAGCCATCGGATATCAGACCCGAAAAGCAGTGTGACATTCAAGTTGTTACTTACTCTCATTCAGTCAACACTGAACAATATAATCAACTCCACGAGGCCCATAAGCAGCCGTAAGCCATGTTTCTTCGACCTGTTCTCAGGTTTCTGAAACTGCTGACTGCCAGCAGGCTTCGGTGACTATGATATGATCGGTGCATACGAAACAAATACAGTGAGTTGTGCTGCCAGTGGACAGCCTTGCTCTCATAGCGAGCACGACCTCAAATGATGTTGGCGCATAATCACTTTGAAGGCCAGTACTATTCGAGCAATTTACGCAAGTATTTGTTCCCTGCAAGCCGTCAGCTCATCTGATAGATTCCTTTAGGCATGGCCTGCACCTGACCATAACTTTTAAGTAATTCCAGGGTAAATTCAAATTCTTACAGCAAGTGGAATGGAAGCACATCACTATGGGGTGCTATTCGCTTGACATTTGCAATTATGCTATGTTCCATGCAAGCCGTCAGGATCATTTGATACTCGTTCAGGAATGGACGGCAGCTAACTCGCCTGCACATCGGCCAGAATCCGGGCAAAGTCAGTATAAAAGGTCTCAGATATCTTCATAGGGTGCATCCTCATCTTCCTCGAAAGCCTTTCACTTCAAATCAACATCATGGGTTCCATAGTTCCATGGGATGGAGTATACCACATCCAGAATGTGGGCTATCCAGATCAAATGATGGGACTTCAGATTTATGTTGGCGCATTGGACCCTTATTATGTTGCCGGCCGTCACGAGGATTCGTATGATCCTTGTATCGAGGTAAGTTCTTTATATCGCATTGCACTACCGTCCAGTTCTCATGACCTCTGCAGTGGAAAGTTAAAGCCACCAAGGTAGGCCAAGACCTATACAGCAGATAGTTATCCCAGTCCGACTCCCGGGGCACGTCCAACTACATCGCTGCTAACGTCAGTTTGACTTTGCCCTTATTTTGAAGTTCGATACTAACTTCGCGGAAGTCTGACAGCAGAGTGGTTTACAGTTCCGAACCCTATGAATGGGATGTACCGTACGCGAGGTTGGCAGATGGGTGTGAGTATGGCATGTGTCATGCGTCTTCATGGAGTAAACCGGCTCTTCTTTCAGTATCAAGGACCCTGCTTCAGGCTTGTTGTTATACTTGCCTAGTAGCGAGGATAGAGTACAGGTACAACACTTCATATTGAGCTGTTGAATAACACCTTATTTTGTCCCTGATTTAGGTTCAACTCATGGAGGATGGCGCTGGAGAAGCGTCATACTGGAGGTTCATTCCTTTCAGGCCCTCCTCAAATTAATTGGGTGCGATGCAAAGATAGTTGGTGCTGATATGGTTCCTGTTGGTGGTTAACATGTATGTTAGTGGCAGAATCCAAGCGCTCTTGGGTGAGCGGGCAATGAAAGGCAACGAGTGATTTCTACCAGGCGATTTGTTAGGACCGATGCTACTTGAGGCAAGGGTCAAGCTTTAAGTACGTTCGACTCCTAACACCAACATTTTAGGCAGAATAAACAGAGATAGATCCAGTATTGCGTAGCATCGCTGACATGAGTACATTCTCACCCGTCGACCTGTCATCGATGTCATCTATGACACTGGGGTTTGGCGCTGCCGACTTGCAACTTGCTCCATTGCATTTCCCCCTTATGGATGCTTTCCTTAAAGTCTGAATTAATACATGTGACATGGCACAGGTCTGTGCGTACTCCATTTGCTTCTTGCTCCCGTCTTCAAGTTAGCATCCATACTTTCTGTTTTTCCAGTATTATACGAGACACGAGTCCAACTGAGTCTAATCAGAATCCCAGTACCGATAAAGTGACATAAATACAAAAGATGTGCGTTGCAAGTTCTTGTGACACTTGTCCAGTGACAAGCCCAACGTCATGGATGACGATGCAACACACAGGTGATCCAGCCTCACTTAGCAACGAGAGCGGAATGACCATGCATCGCGTACGCTCAAACTTGGCAGTCACGAATGCAGAATGGGAGGAACTAGTGATAGCGGAGACACGATTGAAAAGCTACATGACCGGAAGTAAGAACAGGTTGAGGAATGTAGAGTTTGCCATGTGCAACAGAATCTGAGCAGATGAAAAGGCGCGTGGAAACAGTGCACAGCCCGAACGGAATGGTCATGTGCCATGTATGTTGAAACTCGGCCTCTGCACGGAGCATAGACTCAGCAGTCTCTGCGAGGGGGATAGTGCGTCGATTCAACAGGGAGGTTGAGATGTGTTGAGATGTTGAAGACTAGGTCCCGTGACAGGGAGAGACTCAGAGTCTAGACACAGCGGAGGAGTTTGCAATCGAATCATTCTGTATTATGGTGAGCATTTATTGTAAGGAAAAAAATGCCGTAATCACATACTGAAGGTGATTACATACGCTAAGTGGCCCTGGGCGGTTTTAGTAGCAAGCACTGCGAATGATGTTGGCGCATCGTGACAACTTATCAGTTGGAAGGCTGGTGCTATTTGCACGATTCATGCAAGTATCCTGCAAGCTGTCAGCTCACCTGATAGGTTCCTTCAGGGGTAGCTTGCCCCTGGCCAGAACTAAAATTTATGTAATTCCAGGGCGAGTTCAACAAGTTATAGCGGCCATTACCCCAGAAGCAAGCGGAATGGAAGCATAACATCATATTGGTGTGCTATTCGCTCGACTTGCGCAATTATGTACTGTTCCATGCAAGCTGTCACATCTGTAGCTCCTTCAGGAATGGACTGCAGCTAACTCGCCTGTGCGTCGGCCAGAATGCGGACAAAGTACAGTATAAAAGGTCTCGGATTATCATCACAAGATGTATCCTCATCTTCCTCGAAAACCTTTCACTTTAGATCAATATCATGAGTTCCGTCGTTCCTTGGGATGGTACATACCGCATCCAGAACGTTGCCTATCCCGAGCAAAAGATAGGACTTCGTTATCACGATATCATTGTCGCCGGCCGTCACGAGGATACGGCTGATCCACGGATCGATGTGAGTTCTTTAACAGAAACCTCATCGCACTATCGCTTGGTTCTCACGGCTTTTGCAGTGGGAAATCAAAGCCATCAGTGTAGGCGACGACAGCAAGATAACCATCACGTCCGGTTCCCGCTTCATCGGTGCTGACGTCAGTTGTAGTTCGCCCTTGCTTTGAAGTTTAATGCTAACTTTGCAAAAGTCTGAGAAAGTGGTCTACAATAACACACCTTATGAATGGGGTTTATCGTATCGCGATGTCGGCAGATGGGCGTGAGTACGGCATATGTTACGCATCTTCAGGGAGTAACCTGGCTTCTCTGTTCAGCATCCGGGACACTGCTTCGGGCTTGTTGTTGTACTTGCCCGATAATAAGAATGGAACAGAGGCACGATACTTCATTTTGTGCTTTGAATAACATCTTACTTTCTTCCTTGTGTAATTAGGTTCAGCTCACGAGGGATGGCGCGGGAGAAGTGTTATACTGGAGGTTTATTCCTATCAGGCCCCCTTCAAATTGATTGGGTACGATGCACTGAAATAGTTAGTGTTGATATGGTCTTTGTTGGTAGTCAACGTGTACGTTAGTGGTGGAATCCAAGCGCTCTGAAGTGAGCGGACAATGAAAGGCAATGAGCAATTTCTGCTGGGTAATTTGTTTGAACGAGTGCTACTTGAGGCAATGGTCAAACTTTCAAGCACGTTCGACTCTATCAACGTTTTAACCGGACCGGACAGGGATGGATGTGGCGCTCCGCAGCCTATGCTGGCATGAGTATACTTATCGTCACATGTACGACCGTCAATTGTGATCTATCATCGATGCCATCATTTGCGGGCATGATGTGGGGTGAGAATATAGCTATATCTTGTTCATGTCCATATTCTGTTTGGCGGGGGGAAAGCTGCACATCGCCGCCGTGACGTTGACAGTTCCCGAAGCAAAAAGGACATCTGTCCCAGGGAGGATTCGAACTTCCGGCTTCGCCAGATTGGAATGAGACACAATGCGATGATTTACCACTAATCGACAAGGACGCTGGTCAGTGACCACCATCGATGTACTCAAGAGGAGCGAGAGGCAACGAAAAAAGCAAGGGTCCTCGGGGTATTCATTCAGAAGCTTCCTACTACGAGAGTCGTACTACGTGGCTCGTTCAGGGAACTCGGGCTTCAGCGACTTCAAGCCGAAATTGCAATGTTGATAAGTCGCATTCAAGCGTGATGCGTCGACGCAGATCGGTTACTTACATAATCTTAAGTTGGTGGACTGGCCCATTGACGCGGTCGATGGTCCGAGATGGCCTAGCGGCGGCATGCAGAAACTACAAAGTTTAGTATATGAAGAAGCATTTAAAGAAGGAATGACGCACTATATGATAGACGACCGTCGACGGAGAGATTTCCCATGATATTCTATGAATACATACAACGTCCCCGTATCTTGGGACTCGCTCTACTTTGGAAAGTTAGAGGATGACAAGAGGCTGTTTGTATGGAACGATCATCATCCCACGTATACGATATCATCGCACTTCCTTCCGTGGCTCTCTCTCTGTCGGAGCTTCAGGGCATTGTGTGAGATATTTGCGCGAATGGTTGCAAGATATCGCTAATGGCGCCAATCAACCGTGCAATGGTACTACCGTAAAATGATCATTACATAATACTGTCAATAAAGGCCACAACAAAACATAACCGGAACATCCAGTTTGTGGAGCCTCACCAGAAATATTACTTTGACCACCCGCAATCTCCTTCAAAACCTCTGTTACAATGAGGAAAATGTCGTATGCGGCGACATTTGTCGTCGTTCTCATTATTCTTGTCATTGTAAGTTGTTCAAGCCCATCTCATGAATGGCACTCATCCAGGGGTTTCCAGAATACATTATCTGCACGTCTGCCGGACTGGTTCGCTTAGAGAACATTTTAACCACCAAATGCCCCCTGACATTATATTTGAAGGCTCATTGCAAAATATGACGTCGCTAATGCTCAGGTTACCGTTCGCTATGGGTTGATGAAACGATGCGAACGCTCCACCATTAGCTTTCCTGGCCCAGGCAAAGGCGGACGTCTGGAATACACGAATACGAATGCCGTAAATTCCCCTCCCCTGTACAGGACAAATGTGATAGCGACAACCGCGTGTTTTGCGCTCTCTGGACTTCTGCTCAATACTTCACCGAGCTTGGCATCGGTTTTGCAGGAATGGGTCTGGTTGCTTTGCTTATTGGCGCGAGCACGCACTCCAGAAGGAGAAGGGTCTGGAGAGCTGTTGCAGGGCTCGTCATATTGCACGGTCAGTCTCTATGAAACACATGATATTTGAGGCTTCATTGCATTCCGCAGCTGTGTTCCAACTTGTCACGTTTATCCTCGTTACGGAGCTCTACCGCAAAGACCGTTTCCCGGTCTTCGAGCATGCTAAGCCTGGTTAGTTTTTGTGGTACCTTGTTGTCTTGTCGGCTCTAACATGTTCTTCGAAGGTGTTGGCTACGTCTTGAACGCTGTTTCTTGGGTTTTAGGTTTTGTCGTTGGGGCCGCTGTCATCGTGACAGGTTTGGCTGCGGATCGTGGCCAGAAGTGGGCTGCTGGTAATAGATCATATACACCCATTTTGGGTCATCGTTACAGAACATACACTCCCATTCGAGGTTATGGTACAAGCGCATAATTCGTTTCTTCCTTTCCACAAACACACGACAAGCACATGTGGGTGGCTCATTTCAGTTTACTTGTACTATATTTGGATACCTTTGCACCTACACCTTGTAAATATGTTAATTGAAGTCGCCCCTCTTGTTCATAAAGGCGTGAATCAAATATCGTCTGTCCGAGGAAGATGATACTATGCAAAGCAAAGTGCAGATATAACATCTCATATACACCCTCTTCAGCTCTCCTCTGGATAATCTACCTGGTCATATAACCTCAACGTCTCATTCCAGTCTCTCTTCCGCCTCCTTCTGACAGAGAAGTACTTAGCTCCACTGTCCCATGTGCTTCTTACGCGACCCTTTTGTTTGCCCCCATGCTCGACAAAGAACTTCTCAGGATCATCCGGTAATCCCAAAGTCACCACAGCCACGTTCATCAATCTCGAGTGCAGATCCCGTCTTGTCATTCGTATCTCGTTCAGGGTCTCCTTGCCGACACATAGCAGCTTCGCCAGTGCCATAAACGCGCGAAAAGCCGATACGGCATCTTCCATCCACCTCAGTGTCATCCACATCATGGCAGGGACGAGAAATGTTGTGATCGTGGCGGAAGGAAGCGTAAATAGAACACAGGCAGCCCAGACGGACAGACCTGAAAAAAGCCCGTAGACAAGTTTATATTGCGCAATTTCGTCAAAGGTGTCCCAGACTGGCCCAGTTTTCTTGAAATTTCGAACGGCGATGTATGTAGTAATGAATACGGGGGTCCAGAGCACCAGGCCTGGGAGAGAGATGGTGAAGAGACATATGAACCACGTCAGTCGAATAACCATTCGCATAGCAATCGTTTGCAAGGAGAGGGGACGCGCAATGCGATCATCTTTGATACCCCAGTGAGCAAGCCGGTCTTGATAATCCTTTTGACGGTAGTTAAGAAACCGGTACATCCATTAAAAAGTTGTATTACCTTGAGGTCATGACGCAGTTGGTTGAGTTCATCGTCCTCCTTGGTGAAGTCGACAGACTGGTATTCAGCAGTACGTTTGCTCTTTTGAGTGTCATCGGAAGCTTTGAACGCCTCGACAAATGTTCTGGTGATTCGTACATAATCTCCTAGGCTCATAAGAGTCCCAAGGGGTGCATATATGCGTGTCGCCATCTTTGCGGATCTTATGAATTCCCAAGATGGCGAGTCAATCGTCCGGGAACTAATTTGTTGATGCATCCGTTCAGTCAGAGCCCGGATTTCGTCGTACTGTACGGGAGCGAGGAGCTCTGGGTTGTCCTGAGCCACAGGAAACTAAGTAAAATGCTCTATATATATATGCACGCACCTTAGGACTGAACGTCATTGGGGGGTTGAATGTCACCAGAACATCCGACCTGAAATGTTGTCGATGCCTGTAATTTCACGCAGTCAGCAACTGGGTAGAAATATAAGGGTAGTTCATTACATGTAAGTGACTGAGCATGTTAGAATGGATATGGAAAAGTTGGGGTTATCTCGGTTACGACTCAGAACATCCGAAACAAGACGAGCCACTAAACGATACGTGAAGTAAACATTAGCAGATACTAATCAGTCGACAAACCTCCTGTCTTAAGAGGGGCAATAGTGGGGTGATAGCGACTCCCCCCCTCCGGAAATACACAAACTGCATCTCCAAGTTCGAGCGCCTGTTAGATTTAATTGGACTTTCAGATAACCTAGGTATACGATCGGCACGTCTTACATCCATTAGCTTATTCATGGCTTGATTGTTATCAACCTCATCGTTATTGTAGTCTTTGCGCCGCTTGATAGGCACAGTGCCTGCGGACTCAATAAGCCAACTAGTAAATGTCCGTTGCCCGAATTGCGTGGATTTTGCTGTGAGTCGCAGCATATTACGTGTCTGCACAGCAATAAGTCAAGTGATGTCAGGTTCATGGTCACGTTGCTCACCTTGGACGGCATAGAGGTAACCAAAAGACTGACGTGCACAGACTGTGAGGTTAGTTCGCTTCGCTTAGGCAGATACGCGCTTACAGTGCATCCGTCAGAGAATTGGGATGGTTGGCGCAGACAATACTGAGGCGCGAAACCATTTAGCTGCTGGAGGATAACCTAGCTGGGGGACGGACCATGGTTCCCCGGTCTTCGGTATAAGATCAGCATTCTCGACGACAATGGTCCCATAGAATATCTTCAGCACAAACTTGAAGAGCAACCTAATACCAATGTCAATTTTTGTCGACCTTGGTATGTCGCTGACCTCACCGAACTAAAATGTAAGACCAGGGCGTGGTGGAACCCTTGGGCATACTTGTACGAGTCTCGTCGTGAAGGTCGTGTACATGAACTATTGTCACAGCGTCATGGGGAAAGAAAACTTGAACTGCCGGTTTATTCACGTCTTGGGTATTATGTAATCAATTTTTTGATCAATGATGCCGCATGTCTGTAAGGTGCTGTTTGGACAGCGACTCCGGGTTCAAAATTCCCGGTTCAAAGCTGCACGTGATGCACGTGATGAGAACATGTGACGTATGT